AAGAAGGCGTAACTTTTATTCTCGCTGTAGTATTGTTGCCGCCGCCGTCATGTCGTGAAGACGCTGTGTGTTTCGTTGTGAAAGCGAAACTACTTTGGCCTTCCAAAAGAGGATGATATCCGCTTCGTCATGCCTGGAGCTGATCCGTGCTGGTTGCTGAGGAAATACATCAACTTCGCTCTGTGGATCGACGCTCCTTCGTCGAATCCGCCGGCCGCGCCGTTCTCAAGACCGCGGGCCGCTGCTCACTCTAGCCCGCCGTGTGTGACACTGTGTTTCGTTGCGAAAGCGAAACTCCTTTGTTTGGCCTTCCAAAAATGGACACGACTAGTTTTTTTTATTTTTTTATTTAAAACGAATCTACAATAGTAAAATGCATAATTACACGTCTCTCTGGAATACTTGATTCCAATTGGTCAGTCACAGCATTCTGCTGTCAAATAGTCTCATAAAATGATATGTCACTATGCAATCTTTTTTATATGTAATAAAATATTTGTACTCAAACCAATATAACATATTTGATATTTGATAAATACAGTAGTTGCATAATGAGCAGGATAGTGCACAGTCAACAGGTCATTATCGCTAAAACAATTCCTTCAGGGTGGTACATGTATAATTCCAATTGAACTGCAAGCAAATGGCCGTGCTTCTTAATGGTAAATGTCAGATATGTTGTGTATTAGCATGTATGTTCTTTAAAACCATATACAGTAATCATATGATTCACTTTTGAACCTCAGCACGGCCACGGACACAGTCACTTCCAGCCCTCAGAGAGCATCCAACAGAACGGCGTCATCAATATGGTGGACTCTGCCAATAGCGACAAAGCCAGCATAACCTTTGACCCTCCAGTGGAGCAGGTACAACTGGTCAGGTCTCACAAAACTACAAATAATGCCAAGAGATATGTGAATGATCTAAATATAGCCATACGTTACATAAACAGTATAAAAATAGCTAACAGTTTGGGAGATATTCCCACATGAAATGAAGTTAAAACTTAAAATGATAAATTTACTATAGTAAAACTACGTACATTTTTTTTTATTTTCAGTGTGTTTGCCCATGCAAAACTTGCTAATGGGATGACAGCGCATTGCTTTGTGGTTGCTAGTGTGTTCTAGATGGTTGCTTACTGATCCAAGTATAATATAAAAAAAGGGTAAATTAAATACACTACTGTTCACAAGTTTGGGGTCAGTAGGATTTTTTTTTTTTTTTAAGAAATTAAAACTTATATTCTGCAAGGACACATTAAATCAAAAGTGACAGTAAAGTCATTTATAATGTTACAAAATATTTCCATTTTAAATATGCTGTTTTAACTTACTTCATCAAACCTAAAAAATGTGTCACTGTTTCCACAAAAATATTATAGCAGAAATATTATACCACAACAGCAGCACAACAGTTTTCAACTTTGATAATAAGAATAAATGTTGTTGTGGTTGTTGTTTTTTGAGCAGCAAATCATAATACAGAAATAAAGACTGGAGTAATGGCTGCTGAAAATCCATGTAAAAACAATTATTTTAAATTGCAATAAAATTTCACAATATTACATTTTTACTATATTTTTGATCAAATATATACAGCCTTGGTAAGCATAAGACACTTTTTTCAAAAACATCTTACCTATCAAAAAATCTTACCAACCCCAAACTTTTGAGAGGAAGTGTAAATATAAATATAAATACAAGATATAAATAGGCCAGCCATTCCCACTTGAAATTAAGTGGAACAAACACCTCAAATTTTTTTGATATCTTTAAAGGCTGATTATCACAACAGTAATCAATTTAAGATTACTTTAAAGTGTCATTATCAAATAGAGATAAATACTAATTGTTTGTCATGACAACCAGGCTATTACACTATAACATCAGACTGTGGTCAATGGTTAAACCAGAATCTTGGGTCATGTGATAACAGTTCTCCTTCAGCAAGATCAAATACAGTTATTTGAAAGCCCCCAGTCAGCTGTTTAAGTGTCGTTAGCATGTAACACGACATGACTAGAGTGTTCAGAGTTTTAAAAAGCAGGTTTTTTGGTACAGAACTAAGAAGTTCATAGTGTACAGGTCAGTGCAACTTACAGTCCAGCCGTAGAGACACGCACAGCTGTGTTTGCTTTCATCTGTCACAGCTGCCAGCAGAAACAAGATTGTCTTCTGCTCTTTGACCTACATCACGAGCACCATGCAACAATACAAAAAGTTAGACCTCGGGGCTAAAAGTAAATAGTATTTGAAATATGAACCCAAGGGTTGAAGAGGGTACAGTGATGTTGTTATAGTACGAAATTAGGTTTTAATTTAGATGTGAACGTCATTGCAGCGGTCTTGCAGATGGCTCAGAGGAAGACAGCTGGCCAGCGTAAAGACTGTGGCTTGGATGATTTCCCTGAGCGATGCTCTACACAACTTCATTGACGGACTGGCCATCGGCGCCTCGTTCACTGTGTCTGTTCTCAGCGGCTTTAGCACTTCTATTGCTATCGTCTGTGAGGAATTCCCTCATGAGCTGGGTAAGAGAAATGCAGACTCTTTTACCCAACTGGAAATGTTGTGAGTTCTGACCTTTAACCCCTACGCCAAACTACCTCTATGACTACTGCCCTTTGAATGTTGACCTTAATGGAAAAAAGTAAACATGTGACGCACATTTGTGTTCTGTTTCCCCCTGTAGGTGACTTCATTATCCTGCTGAACGCAGGTCTGAGTATTCCACAGGCCGTCTTCTTCAACCTGCTGTCTGCTATGTCCTGCTACGTGGGACTGGTCCTGGGCATCTTGTTGGGAAGCACTTTTGCCCCCAGCGTCATCTTTGCCTTTGCTGGAGGCATGTTCCTTTACATTTCCTTGGCTGATATGGTAAGAGCAGTGTGGGTTATAAAGTACAGCACATAACGATTTATCACATTCATCAAGAAATGTATTCAGTAATGACTCATTAAATCGATCAAAAGGGAGAGTAAAGACATTCAGAATGTTAGAAAAGATTTCCATTTCAACACTGCAAAAATGATTTTCTTAGTTGTCGTTTTCCAGTACAAATAAACAAACAGTCTTAAATTACATTTACTTGAGAAACAAAATGATGAGATATTAAGTCTTGTTTTCTCAATAATGTATCAAAATAAGAAAACATATCTGCCAATGGCATGTTTTCCATTTGAATTGTGTCTTTTTCTTACTTCACTGGCAGATATATTTTTTCTTGGATTAAGCGTAAACATACATTTTTAGATATTTGTACGGGAAAACAAGACAAAAACACTTTTTTTAATTTGTATTTATTTATCTGTAGTGAAATAAATTGTTCTTTTGAATTTTCTTTTTCAAGAATCCTGAAAAAAAAGTATTCCACAAAAAATATTAAGCAGCACAACTGTTTTCAACATTCGTAATAATGTTTCTTGAGTAGCAAATCAGAACATTAGAATGATTTCTGAAGGATCATATGACACTAAAGTAATGGCTGCTTTGCCGTCACATAAAACAATTATATTTTTAAATATATAAAATAGTAAACACTTATTTTAATATTTTAGTTTTTACTGTATTTTTGATCAAATAAATGCAGCTTTGGTGAGCCTAAAAGACTTCTTTTAAAAACATTTTAAAAAAATCATACTGACCCTTAAACTTGTGAATGGAACAGTATTTCAATGCAATACTTTTTACTTATAGCATTTAGGGTTTTTCCCGCATGATTTGAGCTAAATAAGAAATTATATTACCATTTTTGTCAGAATTTATTGCTTCATTATTGCATTATTATTCATTTATTTCAGGTTAAAATTCCACTTTTAATGCCTAAATGGAACATAAATCTGTGTTAACGGAGCAAATACTGACCATCTTTCTCTCTCACACATAGCTGCCTGAAATGAACATGATTGCTAGTGAACAAGTGCAGAGCATGAAGACCGATATCATTTTTTTTGCAATCCAGAACGCAGGAATGCTGACAGGATTTGCCATGATTCTTCTCATCACATTGTATGGTGGGAACATTAGCCTGGACTGAGCCCTCGCTTCATCCTGCCCTTAAATTCTGTGCCCATTCCAGATCATTCTCTCATTTAAGCTATTTATTTGAGAAGATACTACTTCATACTATTTTTAAATCATTTATACTGTGGAAACTCAAAAATCATTAGGAGTAAAATAATTTGATGATTTGTATAAGCTGATTATTCTCAATATATATAATTCTAGCCATTTTATACCGTTGTAAATAACTGACCTACTAATCATGTTTTTGTAGAAAAGAAGGCACAGAGTGATTTATGGCTTACATTTGGTGCTGTTTGAATGATCAAGTTTGTTACTTTGTACAATAGGAACTTCTAAAATCATGAAAAATAAAAAGACAGAACAGAACTGTATTAAAAAGTCCAAATTGTATGTCTTTTTTTTCATTGGACACATCCATCTGTCATACAGCTGATGACATAGCTATACATTTAGTTATTTAATATTCATTAAACACAATGTACACTTAAAAGTATCTTTAAAACAGTACAGTCAGTGCAATATCTTTACAGATCAAAATTAAAAACATTTTCTCTCCAAAAATATACATCTATATAGATCTCAGAACATTAATTAAACCCACTTTACAAGAAGTAATCAGAAAACTTAAGTCACACCAAGGAGGTAAAATATCTTAAACAGTTTTGACTGGACAAAGTTATTGGGTGAATCTCACAAAACAAGGTCATATTTCATTCTAAAATCAAAAGAAATAAGAAATGATACTTTGCTTAAAGATGTTTTGTCATTATTTTCAAGGTATTGTTGTCAAGTATTTATACAGAATTGTAGTAATTGTTAAAAATCTAATAAAAATAGTAATGCATTACGTACAGTAAGGAGGATCTAACGACAATCACCAGTGGGAATTACATTTAAAGAAAAAACTAAACAAAAAAGTGCTTAATTGTCATGAAAAGAATGTCAAAAATTGAAAAAAATAAAATCTTAATGGTCCTAAAATTTTTATTTAATATAATTTTTTTTCTTTTGATTTTTTGGGGTGAAATGGGACGTGTTTTCATGCGATTCAACCAATCAGGAGGCACATCAGCTCTATAAGACCTAGAACAGCACGGTTCTACTTCATAGTCACTGAACCAGCAGAACAAACAGAATGGCATTAGAGTTAAACGCACACATACGGCAATTCCGCAGAAGTTCTAGAAGCACTTATATGAGGCACTAAACGCAGAGCTCGGGCCAAACCACACCACACCACAGAGCAGCACGTTACCCCAAGGGGTTGTCATGGCAACAGGCACGACTAATGCAGAAAAATCACCACTGTACACATCGCTGGCAAAAGAACGACACAAGAGAGGGCGAATCGGCGAGAGAAGGCTGCAACTTCATCTTGGATTTTAACTTAAAAAAGCCACTGAGACCTAAACTATTAGTCTTACCATATATAACACAGGACTGCACCGTATTAGCTGAATGCTAATACTTGTTTCATACTAATTGTGGGGTGCTGCTGCTAATTCCAAAAATTCAGTGTTTGTTTTGCTATAGCATATCACACTTTCTAACAAAATGTTTGCATTTTTGCGGCATTTTTGCTTTCAACAAACATTTATAAGGAGAAGTCTTTTATTATCCCTTAATACCCCCAGCAGAAAAACTTCCACAAAGACATGGTTCCTATCTTCATTCGAGTCAGGTTAAACTATTGTTAAATTGTCAGCTATTGTCAGAACATTTTATTTTGTGAAAAACTACATAATGGAAAGTTTGTGATATTTTTTAACTCAGATTTGAGCAAATTAGCTAATATTAAGTCTTTTTTGCAAATCAGCTGATTTTTTTTCTTATTCAAGATGCAGTGCTGTGTAATCTTGGTCAGATTTTCATATTCATCATCACAGACCATAAGGTAGCGCCATAATTAATTTCTGCCAGGGATGAAAACGAGGCTGTGAGTGACACAAGTACAGTGTCTTCAATGGATTTTAACAACATGCCGACTGTTTAGCTGATGAAACTTCTTTCAGAAAAAACGAATACTCCGTAAAACAGTTTTGAAAGTTGTGAGTTGTGAAAAATGACATGATATAGTATCTTTATAAAGTGCATGCCATGGTAAAGACTGCAAGTCTCTCCCTCACAGCTTCATTTTTATCTGTTAAATTCAATATGGCATATAACCTGACCTATCTGACCTATTCCGAATATTCCCAGACACAACCCATGAAGTGCAGGATGAAAAGCAAGTGCTTTGGGAGAACTTGGCAGAACTTGATTCTCGAAGTGATGTGTGCCGGTGAGACGAGGTAGATGAAGTCAGACAGTCGTCCTATAGGTGGCTGAGGCTGCGCCCTGCATCCAGCACATTTTCAGGGCAACAGCCTGCCAATAATGCAAGACTGATGGGGAGTGGAGAGTCTAACTGATCATACATACACAATCTAAAGCCAGCCTCATGAATCCAGGGCTGACCAGTCACTGTACAGAAACCACATATACATTAGCCAGTATATTACAGCACTGCGCTCGCCTCTAGTTTTAGCTTTACAATAGGATGAGTAGCTTACACGACTGTCTACTATGTCAGATAACAGTAACAAATTTATTAACTTACAAATCAATGCTTTCACCAGAACATGATAAAGCTACGTTGGCTTAAAGGTTCATATGACCAGTTACACTAACTGGCACCATGTTAAATACCACATATGCTACGTGATCTTGCATGGAATGTTTTATCAAGTATCGTACAGCATTATATTACGATTTAATACCAAAAGTGGTGCATGTGTCCACAAACATCGCACGGAATTTACAAACATTCATCCTTCGTAAAATCCACAACTCTTAAGCGTTTCACAGTATTTTTCGGTACCACACATGTTCGAAAAGCTATTAACATTTATCCGCCTTTTACAAGATGGCTGTGATGACGCCAAATTGTTTACTCACGAGTCACGTTTTGGTGAGGCGCATGATTGCGCCTACAGTCTCACAGCTGAGAAAGCTACAAAATTGATATACAAAGACAATAATCTCTCCCTGACCCACTTATACAATCAAATGTGCTCTTAATGAAGTTGTTTATACATTTATACTGCATTAATTTGGTTCAGATACTTGTAGAAAGCTACTAGGGGGCTGCTATTGCAAATAAACTTCAAGTAAGACATTAAAGGTAATAATTATAAAGATGAAAAATGACCAGGTGAGTCACAGTATGCACCATAAACCAAAAAGGCCACCATATGCGAAAGGAGAGTGATAATCTTAACTTGGTGATTTTCACAAAAGTGTATTTTTTGGCATTTGTGATGCACACAATGTGATTGAATACTGGTTGCTTATTAATATGTGCCGTAGCCGTTCAGTGATGGACTACTTTAAGACAATATTCGCTTTAAAAAGAAGATGTAGTTATCAAAATAAAACCAATAAAAATATCTACACCAGCATGAATCTAAGGCAAAAACAGGCCGAGGGCAGCTAAAGTCCTGAGTAACAGACTGCAGTGCTATTGTCAGACAGGCGTTTGAACGCTACAGACTATGAGATGATAGAGATGTCTGCGTAATACATAATAGGTCAGCTAAAGTAATTAAAGTAGCATCGATAGCAACCCAGAATGTAACAAAGAACAGAGGACAGACTAAAAGAAAAGTTGTCAAGGTGACAGTAAAGGGCTGTCAATGCAGTGTTTGTGCGTTTTGTCACTGCCCACCGTCACTGGGAGCTGGACTGTCGGAACGGCCTTCCTTCAAACTGCCTGATTGTTTCTTCTGCTTGGTCTTGGACTTTCTCAGCATGCACACCTAAAATAGAGAACGTAGCCATTTTAAATACACAGAAATTTATATTAGAACTGAAGGCTAACAGATGGTGAGAAAACAGAATTCTGGATGGGAATGACCTTTGGTTTCGTTCACAATTCTGGAACATTCTTCCACATTCTTATTAATGAGGTGGTTGCTTTCTTTGTGACCTTTCTTGAGTGTTAAATTCAGATATTCCACGTCATAATGTTGTGTTGTCTTCACACTGCTGAGCTGCTAAAAACTGAACCAACCAGGCAAATGAGGGGGTATGAATGAGTTTAGAAGGATATAAAAGCACCTTTGGTCCCGCAGCAGAGATGATGATCTGTCCAGGTGATTGTATCCAGGGTTCTCCATCCACCTGCACTGGAATGGGTTTGTTCACACTGATACGAATGTAGCTGCCCTGAGCAAGACGAATCCCAGAACGCAACCCACTCTGAACCTGACCCTGAAAAACAAAATTAACAAATTAAAGAATTAAGTAAACAGTGTGAAAACAGAATATGCAACACAAATCAAATCTACACCATGAATTAAATCAATTTTGTTTAATAAAAAATATACAGTAAACACTTTTTATAAAACAAAATGTTTTTTGTTTTTTTTGCAAATACTACCGTTCAAAACTTTGGGGTCAGTAAGGTTTTTTCAAATTAGTAATTAATAATTTACTTAACTCTTATTCAGCAAGGACACATTAAATTAATCAAAAGTGACAGTAAAGACCTTTACAATGTTACAAAAGATTTCTATTTTAAGTAATAAATGCTGTTCTTTTGAACTGAAAAAAATGCATCACAGATTCCACAAAAATATAAAGCAACACATTGATAATAAAAAGAAAATTTCTTGAGCAGCAAATCAGCATATTAGAATGATTTATGAAGGATCATGTGACACTGAAGACTGGAGTAATGATGCTGAAAATTTAGCTTTGCATCACAGAAATAAATGACATTTTAAAAATATATTCTAAATAAAATATATATAAATTGCAATAATATGTCACAATATTACTGTTTTTACGGTATTTTGAGATTCCTTGTTTTTTTTTTTTACTGTAAAAAAAAAAAGAAAAAAAAAAGCACTCACCATGTGCACAACACCAGTAACTCCCACAACCTCCAGCATCCCATCGTCTATCCTGGGCCGCTCGAACCGAGAGTCACTGTCTGAGCCCCACAGGTCAGCACCAGAACCCCAGCTAGACACACATACAGCAGCTTTAATCTTCAACAACAAACTCAGGTGTGTGGAAGCGTCTTTACTACCACTGTGTGTTTACCTGGGAATGTTGAGGAATATCAGTCCCTCTATACTGGGCAGTTCCAAGTCCTTTCTGTCCACTTGCAGGCTGATGTCTTTATGAAGGTTTCGTGTGTGACTCAACTTCTGCAGGCCCACCTTTACATACACACCTTTATTGTGGAACCTGCAAGAACAATGACAAAATCAAAATCCCTAGACACAGACCACTCTCACCTTAACTGTGAGCCACCCATTTGAGGTAAAATAACAATAGTCACCTGCTATTAAACTTGTCTGGGTCCTCCTCACGTGCATGATGAAAGTCCAGACTCATTTCAGCATCAATTCCCAGCCCAAAATAATTATTCATGTGCACAATCTAAAACACAGACAGGTAAACCCTGTTATGACTGATTCACACTTCACACTAGTACCTTGCAAAATGTGTGTATTGGAAAATTCCTAAGCAGAGCTAAAAGCATTACAAAATTAAAAATAAATAGAAAGTTTAATGAAAATTATAATTAGTTATTTTATTCTTATTATTGTATATTCTTCTTCTTCTTATTATTATTATATATTTTTTAGCTTTAGTTTAGAGCTTTATTAATCCCCTTGGGGCAATTAATTCAGACTTTCGTGGTGCTTCACATATACAACACTTAACACACGCATACAAATACTCAAAAAACACCAAATACATTTATAAAATTTATTAATTAAATAAATCATCTAAATCAACTACATTTATTACATTTTTTGCTTCAGGCACAAAAGTAAATTTGTACCGATTTGTGGAATATCTAATTGACCTTAAATGTCGCCCAAGAGGCATCCACTTAAAATAATCATTCAAAGGGTGTGTGCAGTCTCCTATAATTTTATGTGCCATCCTCATCACTTGCTGTTCATAATAAAATGTAAGACTTCCCAAGGAAACACCTAAAATCTTTGAGCACATATTAACAATACCTTGCAAACGATTTTTGTTCTTTGTAGACAATAAGGAAAACCAACAAATAAAGGAAAAGGACAGGATACTTTCAACAAATGAATTATAAAAAGTCCTGAGAATGACTCTCTGTACATTAAAAGAATTCAGCTTCCTCAGCACAAACAATCTTTGATGTGACTTTTTAATGATTGCATCTGTGTTTTGATCAAACTTCAGCCTATTATCAATAATCGTTCCTAAATACTTGAATTCCTCCACTACATGAACCTGTGTGTCATTAATGACCACCCTTTGAGGTGCAAGTGTTTTCCTACTAAAATTGATGATCATCTCTTTCGTTTTTGACACATTCAAATCTAATTTCATCCTATTACACCATAAAATAAAATCATCCAAAACCGGACCATATTCCTGATCTGGATATGACAGCAAAGACAAAAGCACAGTATCGTCTGCATATTTGACCAAATAACTATTATTGTACAAACTCTGACAATCGTTTGTATACAATATGAATAGAACAGGAGAAAGTACACAGCCTTGTGGTGAACCTATAGAAATATTTAATGTGTCCGATAAGACCCCATTAACTCTAACCCTTTGTTTCCTATCTGTTAAAAAATTAATAATCCATAAAACTAAACCATGATTAAAATTAAACTGACTAATAAGTTTTTGCCCTAAAATAATAGGTTGCAAAAAATTCAATGCAGACGAAAAGTCCACAAACAAAAGCCACGCAAAGGCTCCACTATTTTCCAGATGTCGACTGAGAGCATTCAAAAAAAACAGTTTTGCGTCCTCTACGCTAATATTGATTATAGACAATTAATACATAATATATATTATAATAAGTGCATTAATTATATAAATGATTAAAAATAATTAAAATGTTAAACTAAATAATATATATTTTATTTTAATAAAAAAACAATATTGCATTACAAAATACAAAATAGAAAGTTGAATGAAAATTATAATTAGTTATTTTATTCTTATTATTGTATATTATTCTTATTATATATTGATTATAGATAATTAATACATAATATATATTATAATAAGTGCATGAATTATATAAATGATTAAAAAGAATTAAAACGTTAAATTAAATAATATATATTTTATTTTAATAAAAAAACAATATTGCATTACAAAATAAAAAATTGAAAGTTTAATGAAAATTATAATTAGTTATTTTATTCTTATTCTTATTATATATTGATTATAGATAATTAATACATAATATATATTATAAGTGCATGAATTATATAAATTATTACAAATAATTAAAATGTTAAATTAAATCATATGCATTTTATTTTAATAAAGAAAAATAAAAAACAATACTATTGAAGAAATCATATTTATTGTAATTTGGGGACTCGTGATGTACCTTGGGTGGCTCTAGGAAGCCATTCACTTTGCCATCCTCTGTCATATCCTGTGCATCCAGAAGAATTGTCCAGCGGTCCATTTGCACTTCCTCTGCCTCGTCCACAGACAGCAGGGTGTTGTAGGGGTCCTCGCCGCTGTAGCCCGCCCCCCATCGCAACACCTGAGCCAGATCGTTCCCTGCCAAACACAGAGCATAACTGAACACAAACGACAATGGATGCTAACAGTTAGTAAAACATATAGCAAACTAGAATTAAATTAGGAATATTCCCTCCATCATTTACCGGTGCCCAGTGGTATAATGCTGATTGCTGGCTCAGGACAGGTGATTTTGTGCCGGATGGACTCCAGAACCCCCAGCACCCATCCTACTGTGCCGTCTCCTCCACACACCAAGATACGAAAGTGAGGGACGTCCCTGAACGTGTGCAACCTGTACAATCCAAAAGCTCATATATGTGAGAAGGGAAATGACAGTATTCATCCATTTGTCAGTCACAACGTCTATACATCATTCATAAGGAGTGTTGGTCTAACCCAGGAAGTGGTCCTCCGCTGGTCAGCTCAAACACTTGGTGAGGGTTTAGAAGTTTCCGGAAACTGTATAAGATCTCTCTACCCTTTAATCCACCACTTTTAGGGTTGACAAAGACTAGCAGGGGGCAACTTCCTTTGGCCAGCTTGCTTTGCTGTGGGGAGAGAAAATAACAGTTACATTTGTATGTGAAATGACTGTTGAATTGTACTGTAGTTTCACTATTGGCCACTAGCGAGCAGATGCATATAAAGATTGGGCCAGCATTATGAGCTCTATTGTTGCAATGAATAGCATGTGACCTACTGATCACATTTAAGTTCATACTTAATACAGGTGATTATTTTGAATCAGCTGTTGGTCCCACTGCCTTTATATTTGCCTTCTCTTACAAAACATTTGCATTATCTCACAAAACTATTGTGTTCCTCCAAGAAACTTTCTCGCAAAACATTTGTGAGTGAATGCAAAGTTTCTTGAGGGAACGCAAATGATTCGAGAGTAAACTCAAAAGTTTTTGTGAAATTTTTCCCATTTCATTTTTTTAATGTCCCTTTTAAGGGCTCTTCGGTCCAAGCAACACTGAACCCCACTGACTTTCATTGTTTGGAGATTTTTCAAAAAAGAAAGAAAGTTTTAAAGATTTGGAATGACATGAAAGTGAGTAAATAACATCATTTTTACTTTTTATTTGTTTAAAAAAAGCATGTAAAATAAGTGACAACCACGGAGTGTCACTATCGGATGTGCAGTATGGCTTTGCAAAAAGATGGTGTACCATGATCTCAGGTATGACAAGTGAGTAGAGCTGTTTGCCGCTGATGCTTGTGTCTTTGGCCAGCATGTAAATCCTCTCCGCCTCTGAGAAACAGCTGATCTGCAGGACCACTGCACCTGAAAACAGCACAGCAGCTCAATTCTTCAAACACACTCACTAACACCTGCTCACAACCTAGTACACAATTATTTTTAGCTCTGAGCACAATTATTTTTACCACCTATCATAACATGATGGAATAAGACAAAGAGACAAAAATCCCAATGCAAGCCTCTATATATCACTACTGTTCAAAAGTTGGGGTTCAGTAAGATTTATTTATTTTATTTTTATGAAAGAAATTAATACTTTTATTCAGCAAAGATACATTAAATTTCCCAAAAGTAAAAAATAAAGACATATTATAATGTTCTTTTGAGCTTCCTATTAAAATAAGAACAAAAACCTATGCAGCACAACAGTTTTCAACATTGATAATGATAATAATAATGTTTCTAACATTTCTTTTGTTCATTTGTTTCTTAACTGAATCAGCATATTAGAATGATTTCTCAAGGATCATCTGACATTAACTGGACAAATGACTGCTAAAAATTCAGCTTTGCCATCAGAGGAATACATTTTAAAATACATTACAAAAATGCATTATAGACAAAAGTTAGTTTAAATTGTAAAAAAATATTTCATAATATTACTGTTTAATGTATTTTAAAATAAATGCAGCCTTGTTGATCATAAGAGACTTCTTTTTAAAAGCATAAAATAATCTTGACTGCTTTTCAACTTTTGAAAACAATTTATAATAGGTTTCTAATTCAATTAGTATAATAATTAGTATTATATACAAGTATAATTATATATTTAATAATAAAGATTAAAATTTGATATTTATAATATGATAGATGGATGGATAGATAGACAGATATATATATACATATATATATATACATACACACACACACAGTGCCCTCCATAAGTATTGGAACAGTAATAACAAAATTGCTTTGTCTGCTGTGGAGTCATGACATCTGCATATATGATTAAAAGATGTATATGAGACAAAACTACAGAATGTCACATTTTATTATTAGCCATTTCAACATATTCATGTTTTGCCAAATAAAAAGGACAGCACTTTTAGAGTTTCATTCCCTAATCTGATGTGAGCATAAGTATTGGGACAGTTGACTCACAGGTCTTTCTAAGTGATCAGCTGTGTCCTGTTGCATTAATTGTTCAGATATTAAATGCAGGGAATGTGTTGTATCAGTTATAGCCATTGCTATAACTGCACACACAAACCAGGATGAAGACGAGGGAGCTGACTTTGAGAGACAAGCAAGCTATTTGGATGCTAAAAGAAAAGGAGGAACTCAATTAGAGCTATATCAAAAACAACGGGCATGGAGAAATTAACCCTTTGGCATGTCCTGAAAAAGAAAGAAACCACCGGTGACTACAGCAACCAACAACAACCTGGTCGGCTGAGAAAAACAACAGCCGTTGATGACAGACAAATCATAAAAGCTGTGAAAAAATGAAGTGTCTGTAAAATCACCAACAACCTCCAGAAAGCTGGGGTGATGATCTCACAATCTACTGTTCACAGGAGACTTTGACACAGAATTACAGAGGCTACACAGCAAGATGCAAACCTCATCAAGACGAGTTTTATGGACAGATGAGACAAAGATTATCTATTATCTAAGTGATGGGAAAGCAAAAGTGTGGAGAAAAAAAGGAACTGCAAATGATACTAAGCATACAACCTCATCTGTAAAGCATGGTGGAGGTGGTGGCATGGGCATGAATGGCTGCCTCTGGAACAGGCTCTCTCAACTTTTTTAATTACTTAACGACTGATGGTGATAGCAGAATGAATGCAGAAGTGTACAAAAACATCTTGGCTACCAATGTTCAAGAAAATGCCACAAGACCCATCAGAAAGTGCTTCATATTGCAATAGGACAATGAACCAAAACACCCTGCTAGCTCAGTCAAGGAGTTTATCAGGGGAAAGAAATGGAAGGTCTTAGATTGCTCAAGTCAGTCTCCAGATTTAAATCCAATTGAACATGAATTTCACCAACTAAAGAGGAGACTAAAGGCAGAAACTCCCCAAAACAAGCAACAGTTGAAAATGGCTATATTAAAGGCTGAGAAAAGCATTTCAATGGATGAAACCATGAGTCTGGTGATGTCTAAGGGTGGCAGACTCACTGCTGTGATTGCATGCAAGGGATTTGCTACTAAATATAAGCTTTTAAACTTTTACGTTTGCTTTAAGTTCAATTGTCCCAATACTTGCTCACATCAGATTAGGGAATGAAACACTAAAAGTGCCGCCCTTTTTATTTGGTAAAACATGAATGTGTTGAAACAGCTAATAGTAAAATGTGACATTCTGTAGTTTTGTCTCATATTAATCTTTTAATCATATATGCAGATGTCTTGACTCCACAGCAGACAAAACAATTTTGTTATTACTGTTCCAATACTTATGGAGTATTCCCCTATATGTATATATAGGGGAAGTTAGGGGAAGTTATGGCCTAATGGTTAGAGAGTCGGACTCGTAACCCAAAGGTTGCGAGTTCGAGTCTCAGGTCCAGCAGGA